TATCATCTCCACCTTCTCCACCTTAATCTCTCCATGGACTCAAAACCAACCTACCTTGTGAAAGATCTACGGGCGAGGCAGGACAACTACGTCTGGGTCCTAACAGGGGCATGCCCCCCGCCCCCACCGCGCCCGCTAGTTTCGCTGTCCATGTGACCAATGTTGTATCACTAAACAAGGCCAAGGGCCCCAGTGGTTTAGATCCTAAGAGGAGCAAAGTCCCCCCCGCTCCACCCAGGCTCCTTCAAAACCGGAAGAGCGCGCTGGTCAGAGAAGGGGTTCGAGGTCCCTGAGTTAAAAACAACGAACAAACCAACTCTACAAAAGGCACTCCCGCCAGTGACCCTATGCGACGAGATGGAAATTCCGTCGCCTTCCCTCTCGTCAGATAGCCGCCTGCCAGCCGCTGCGATTCGGACGCACGCAGGCCGGGGTTGGAGCGAGTTCCGCTGGCGCAAATGGACAGCAGAAGACCCCTGGCCCGGTACGAGTGCAGTTCCGGGGACCGCGAGGCGGGCGCCCCTCGCCCTCCGCAGGCTCAGCTCTACCCGCAGGAGCAGGATCCCCAGGAGGGCCCAGAAGCCGCCGAGAAAAGCGCGAAGCCGCGAGTCCAAACGCCAGAAGTGCGGAGTTGGGTCCTGTCGCCCGGCTCCGGCGCTCGCCGGCGCCGCCGCCCGCCGCCCCTCCTCCTCGCCGCCCGCACAAATCAAAGCCCCTTGCGAGGGACTGGGAAATAGTTGCCTTGTCATGTAACACATTGCCCTGATTTATTATAAAATTTTAACGAAATCATGCATATTTTAACAGCCTTTAATCACTGCATGAAAATTTAATTCATGGACTGTAGCGCGTTTAAATAAATGAAGTGTTAATTCATTAGGATTAATTAATTTGTTAAAGGATTGTGTGCAAGGTTAAGGTGGAAAGAAAACTCTTTGTTGGTTTCGCGTCTTAATCGCCAGGTTTCGCGAGTGGTAATAAAATGAAAGGAAACCGCAAAGCAAGTCGTTTCTTCGGGTGGGGCCTGGGCGGGACCAGCTGAGAGAGCCCTCGAGAGCGCGGGAAATTCCGGCCCGCGGGGCACCGGCGGGTCTGCCCTCCCGGGGAACCGGGGGCGGGGGGGGGTGAGGGGTGGGGGTGGGCGTTGGGGGAAGGGCGGCGCTGGTTGCGGAAATCCCAGAAAGCTGGGTGCGTTGGATTCAGAGGGAGGTAGGGGCCTCAGAGCCGAGACTAGCGGGCTAGACCTCGCCTCCCCACCCCCAGCACAAAGATGACCCTGAGTGAAGCGAGGTCGCGCCTTCCGGCCCTCGCAGCGCAAAGCCCCGGCTTAATGGACAGATGATGGGCCAGCCCTGCCACCTCCTGAGCCTTCCAGCGCCCAGGGAGTCACTGTCTCGCCATCAGGCCGCCGGCCCCGGCGGCTGGGGCTAGCTTAGAGTCTCAGGGGACGCTTAGAAAGAAGAGGCGGAGCAAAGCCAAACTTGCAAGCTTAGGCTGGAGCGATCTAGAAACCTTTCTCAATCAGAAGCCCTGGCATTAGGCTTCAGCACCTCTTCTGAGACGTCCGTGAAGTAGGCGCCCCTACAAGGACAGCGAACAAGCAGAAGAGACGTCCTTTTCCACACCGAGCTCTTATTCATCCTTAAAGACCCAATGCAAACAGCACTTCCGTGTAGATGCTTGATTTCCTCTCTGCTCCATGCTATCGCCAACACCGACTTTTTCTACTCACCGTGCTGTAAGAATCAAAATGGACCAGAACTAGCTCCTCCGCCCTCACAGAAAGTCTCAGTAAATGCCTACATCCTTGCCCTTAGTAACCCCGAAATTTTAAGTGTCACACAAGGCACACACTTCTCCACACTTGGTTTATTAGAGGGGGTCTGTTGTTCCCTCTTAAGACACAGCAGACCTTAGAATCTACCATTTCAAGAAGTGGAGCTCCAATTCAAAGTATTCTAGGCCGCTTCCGTCACGTAAAACTGAAGATCGCCCTAGCTTGAGCTCCAGATGGGTTCTTAAAAGAAATCTGCATCTTAAGAGATGTTTCCTCGCTCAGAGTGGGGTTCCGAGAATTAGGCAATAAATGTTCACTATGCACTCTGAGATCATTGCTTAAAAGGTTTTCTCTCTGCCAAGTATTATTAAAAGGATTGGGTTACATCATCACAGGCAAAGACTGTGTTGTAGGACTCCCACAAATAGGAATGAAAGACCTTCTTATGAGGCTTTGGGAAACACTTTTAATCTAATAGGCCATACTCCATAAAGTTAAACTGTTAATCTCAGTTTGATGTTGTACAAGTATCATTCACAGGTACAAAATCTATGTATTACACTTTGAATAACTGAAAACCATTCAAGTATACAGAAACAAGTTGCTGAACCATCTTAGGGTTTAAGACCAAAGTTCTTCCCTTGTTCAGTGGTACCTTTAAACCATTGTAGATACAAAAGAAATTATAGGAATACAAAGCAGATATGAAATTAAGGAGCTATAAATCTTAAAGTCTACCATTTTCAGTTTTTGTCTCAGCTGATACATTAAAACAGGAAAAAACATGTCATTGTGGATGGGATTAATATTTTGAAAATTAAAAGATGAACACTAAAGGTCATGTCAAAAAAAAAAAACAAACCTAGCATCATGTCACACACAGTCCCTTGGCAATTACATTTTAGAAAGCTGAGCAATCAAAAGATGCTGTTTTTATAGGCATGACTGATTAGTGTCTGCTTCCCTTATCACAAGTGCATAATAAGGGTTAAATTCATCTAAATGTCGGAGTTAATGCAATTCTTTCTAAATTTAAAAGTGGCACACAAACAATTCTCATCACTGAGCTTCCACTTAGTAGTGGAGTTAGACCCTGGAACATTGGCCGGAATTAAATGCTACTTGAAAAGAAACATGCTAATATTTCTAAAGTAGTACTTTAAAAATAACCCTCGGATATTTCAAATCCATTCATCCTTTGGCCTACAGATGTGAACTCTCATGCTTGGGGGAGAAGAGTACAAGCTCTAGAGTCAGGGGCCCAGCTCTAAGACGTGGTTCTATCCCATTCCAGCTGTGTGACCACTAATCCTCAAATCACTTATTTTAAACTGAGGATAACAATTATTGGCTTACAGAGTTTGAAGAGGATTAAAGGCAATAGAAGTCAGTAAAGTGCTTGGTTTAAATAAGTTTATCTTTGTTTTTAGAGTGTGCATACAATATACTTAAAAATACATGAAACCACTAATCATGATATATCAGATTATGTAAAGAGTACAAATGAGAATATGTGATTAAAATAAAATCCTGCAGGTTATTCCCTTCAACTGAGAAATGTCACAGGTTTGATTAATTTAATATATGAAATATTGTTTTGGGAAGGGTGGAGCAACGTTTCCGAAGCAGCTGGGAAATACTTGGTCCAGTAGAGACACTCTAACCCTGATTAGGCATCACTAAATCAGGTTACACATTCTGCATTGCCATGCCACACTGTCAGTATATATTTGGATTAATGGATTAAGAACTGACACATTCATAGTAAAGAAGAGTTACAGACAGAATTAGAGTGAGGCTTACCCTCAAATTTACTGTGATAACTCAGAAAAATTGTTGATTTCTACATTTAATAGAATTTCAAATATATTACCACATTGTCAAAGATATCTAAACTACTTATCTCTAAAAGTATCCACTGACTTTAACACATCAAAAGAAAAAATCACACACATATACTTATTGGAATATGTATGTTAAAATTATGCTCCATGTTAGCTTTTCTTTTTGGCCCTTATTATTTCTAAAAGTGGAGGGCATTATTCTCCAAATCATAAAAGTGATTTGTTACACTTTTATAGTTTCATTGAATCCTTAGAGTCTATTATTAACAGGGGTCAGCAAATTTTTCTGTAAAATGCCAAACGGTAAATATTATTTAGGCTTTGTGGGCCATATGGTCTCAGTGGCAACTATTCAACTCTGCCACTACAATGTAGAAGCAGTCATAGATAATATGTAAACAAATGAGTATAGCTGAGTTCTAATAAGACTTTATTTAGAAACACTGAAATTTGAATTTTATATAATTTTCCTGTATTATGAACGATTTTTTTGATTTTTAAAAACCGTTAAAAAGTGTAAAAACCATTTTTAGTTCACAGGTTTTCACAAGAAACAGGTGCAGGCCAGATTTGGTCCATGGTCCACAGTTTGTCAACCTCTATAAGATCAATTAAAAATGTAAGTTTTACTGGTCATTACAGGCTAATTCAATATCTAAGACAACATCAAGGATTACAGTGCTTATGACATCCTTTATTCAATTCACATAGAAAAGCATGCAGTATTAATGTAAAACAGTACAGTATTAATGTAAAATGTTCAGTGCACATTAGATAAACAAGTCATTAGCATACAAACCATTTTTAAAGGCCTATATAGGCATACCAAACATGTTTAGGATATACTTTTTCAGAGCCTAAATTAAAAATTGTGCTTAGCTCACCTATTCTCATCTCAACACTCTTCGTGAAAAAAAAAATTCTGTCCTACATAAAAGATATTCTATTAGCCAACTAAAACTTCTTTTTCTTAAGTAAGGAAAACAGTGCAAGCAAGAATGCTACCATGCATACAGAGTTTCCACAAAGAATAGTAACATGCAAACAAGAACTTCACTCCAAAAAAAGCTCCCCTGGAATGAAAGTGGATAAAGCATTTGGCAAAGAGCGCTTCTGCACCTGTGTATCTGGAACAATGATGCTACCATGTTTAGGCTCCTCCAAACCCAACCAACCATTTTATGCCTTCTTTCCAAAGTAGGCTCAATTTCTGATTTTCAACACACACAGAAAGATGAGGAAATGAAAGCTACCTGACATAAAACAAATATTTTCATATAGAAAATGTGTTCTTTCATTCTAGCAAAACGTTCTCACAAAAACTGTACAAAACACAATATTAAAAATGCAAACATACATATACAAAACCTAAAAAAAAAAAGTAAATGAATACTGGACTACTATAGAGTGCTATTTCTCAACCATGGCCCTGCCTAAAAGTTGAGCCATCACTAAATATAAATAAAAAAAGGCAGACAAAATTATTCCCACCCTAGGAAAGCTTTAAAGAAACTCAAGTGTCTTATGAGCAGTGTGTAGACAACCCAAAAAGTTTTATTTAAGAAATCCAAGTTCTGAAGACAACCGAGGCTCATTAATAGGCCACTGTATCTAATACCTAAATCAAGACCCAGGAAAACAAAATACACCCAAACCAGATACATATAATATTCATTAAAAGAAACCCTCTCCCTATCTTTTCTGTTTAAAAAGATGCCCAAATGAAACTGAAAAAGGACAAATTCTTTAAAATGAACAAAAGTATTTTGGTTACAGGCTAATCCACCATTCTGACTTGACACTTGACTACAGATTATCAATTCAAAATCGTATAGAACTTTTATGAGGGAAAAAAGTAACTTTAAAAACTTATATTCCTCTCAGGACAAAAACATAAATGACACCTTTCTAATGAGTCAACTTTTAGTTGCTTTTGATGGGCTGGCATTGGAAAGACTGCTCTGGATTTTTCTTTTTGTTGACTGATTCATATTTTTATTCCTCTTCTCAGGCACAAAGGAAGTAGACCAAGGAGACTGAAGGTGGTTATGAAGACCATGCATCTCTGAGGTCATCTTAAATAAAGATGACCCAAACCTCTGATCTTCAAATAGCCGGTGTGAACTGCTTAACAAAACACCCTGGGAAAACTCAGTCTGAAACAAACAGCTTGGGGGTTTGATTTCATTAGTTCCTGGGTTAGAACTGGTATGGAGAGAAAAATCTTCATTCATTTCTTGGTCAGATGGAGAGAGGAGAAAAAAAGAAGTGGGTTTCCAGTCATTTCCATTTTCTAACTGATCAGTAGTTAGAGAACCTTTGGAAAGGTTTGGCTTAGTTCTTTCTTCCAACTTATCTTGTTCCTCAAGAAATTCACTGCCTTGAGATGACTTTGATAACCCATCTAAATCCACTGATTTAAAACCATTATTACAAGGGCTCTTGCTGTTGTCTGATTCTGACATCATTGAATCCAACTCAGAGATTTTGTCAAGGTAAGCTGCGTCCATGGATGCTTCACTGGATGTTCTTGTCCGATTCATTTCAAAAGAGCGAATAGAATTTAACCTCTTAGATAAGCATGAGCCTGATTTCTCACTTAATTTTAAAGAAATTTCTCCAACAGAATTTGCTATTGTGTTCCCCTCTGAGCTTTCAAAATCCAAGTTTTGGGCATAGCTTGTGGAACAACAGTCCCAAAACCCTGTCTCTGAGGAAGTAAAACACTCTGATTTCTTTTCATTTTCACTTCTATCATCTTCTGATGAATCTTTATTACAAACATTTGGAGAATCACAAAAATCATCAAACACCAATTTTCTGAGATGGTTTGAGTGCTTTTTGGAACCTACTGCTTTGACTACAGAGCTCTCTCTATTTTCTGGAGTACTGAGCTGAAGGCAACTAAGGGACAAAGGAGTACAAGGAGCTGGAAGATCATAAAGTTCTTCATCTTTGTAGGGTATACAATCACTTGGCTTATTACTCCATTCTCTTTCCAAGTAAGTATCCATACTTGTATCTGTCACATCTAACATTATTTCCACCTGTTTCTGATATAGGTCTTTATTCTTAGAACAATTTGGTTCTGTTTTGCTGGTGCTTTCCTGCCTGGCAGAACTGCTAGAAGGTTTTGGCAGGTGAGAACTAGAGGTGGATGAGCCAAGCTGCTTTCTGGCACCATCACCTTGATTCTTTGATGCCATATCCTCCTCGTTGCCTATGCTCCCCTTGCCATCTGTAGAAAGTGCTCTCTGGCAAATGGAATTCATAGCTTCCTTCTCTTCACTTGAATTTTTTAGCTGTGCAATTTGAGATTCTAGTTCCTCTATATACTTATCACTTCGTTCCAGGGCTTTCTTGAGGCGATTGGTTTCACGTTCATGTTGTTCTACTTTGGACTGAAGAGCAGCTACTGTAAACCTTCCAAACCTGCAAGGAATAGAAAGATAATTAACTTTACAGTTGCAAGCTTTTTTCTTTCCTTTTCAAAGTTTAAGAGTGCAAACTGTCTCAACCCATTTCAATTTCACATACCAGTGACATTTCAGACCACTCCATGAACAGATCAAAAGCAATGCCAGATGTAGTATCTTCAGAAAAGAGTTTTTCCATTTTATGTAACAATATGCATATGATAACAATGGCAAAGATCTAATAGGATACTTTTGTGGTCAAATCAGATTAGCTGTGGCAGAAAGGCAGAAACTCACTGCTGACTTCCCTTCCAAGAGCTAGCTCTCTCAATTCAGCTCATATATGCATGCAGGGTTATCCCCTAAAACAATGGCAAAGATTTATGATAACATTTGAACAGTGGTCCACATCTTGAAATATTTACATTCAATCATTTTCCTATCGTACAGCAGTGTTTTACAATACATTTCTTATACAATGTCACCTTGTCAAACATAAAATGCCAATTTGAAATTCAGAAATCTTAGCAGTCCCAGCAAGGGTGGTTTTAAGTACTTATTTGGACCCTTTCAATTATAGCCACTCTTGATCTGAAGCTTTTACTTGGCCTTTCTGAACACTGGGCTTTAATTCATTCCAGCTCTACTTATTTTTGGCATTTTACAACTGTGTGGGACATCAATCTCATTTCTTCCAACTTTGAAATACAAAGTCAGTGCTTGTGGTTCCAATATATTACACATAAAAACATTTTCACATTTTCTGAAAAGGAACATTTTGGAGAGTAACTGAAAAAGAACGTATCAAAAATTCACTTCTTTTACTCAGGATTATCTTGTTTTCATTATTCCCTTAAGAATGGGTACTGGGGGGTGTCTAGATGGCTCAGTTGGCTGGGTGACTGACTCTTGATTTATGCTTGGGTCGTGATCTCAGGGTCGTGAGATTAAGCCCTGAGTGGTGCTCTGCCCTCAGCGTCTTGTCTGCTTGAGATCCTCTCCCTCTGGCCCTCCCCTTGCATGCTCACTCACACGCTCTCTCTCTCTCTCTCTAATAAATAAATAAAAATAAATCTTTAAAAAAAAAGGGTACTAGGTTCAGCTCAGAAAACGGTTCTGAGCACCCAGTATGGGCTGATGGTATATCTGGAGCTGGGGATACAAAGATCAATAAGACTGTCCCACCCCAATGGATATAAAATGTCTACCTTAAATTCCATCAGAACATCAAAGAAAATTCTATCTTTTAAGAAACTGCTTCTTATGAGCCAATACACATAAGCCTTGCATTCTAACCCCATGAAAAATACTTTTCTCCACAAAAGTTCTTTTAAGAAGCCTCTTTCTATAATCTTTTTGATGACTTAAATATTGACCCATCTTTTTTTTTTTTAAGATTCCGTTTATTAGAGGGCGCCTGGGTGGCTCAGATGGTTAAGCGTCTGCCTTCGGCTCAGGTCATGATCCTAGGGTCCTGGGATCGAGTCCCGCATCGGGCTTCCTGCTCCTTGGGAGCCTGCTTCTCCCTCTGCCTCTCTCTCTGTCTCTGTCTCTCATGAATAAATAAATAAAATCTTTAAAAAAAAAAAAAAGATTCCGTTTATTAGAGAGAGAGAGGGAACACAAGCAGGGGGAGTGGGAGAGGGAGAAGCAGCCTTCCCGTGAGCAGAGAACCCGATGCGGGGCTCGAACCCAGGACCCTAGGATCATGACCTGAGCCAAAGGGAGATGCTTAATGACTGAGCCACCCAGGTGCCCCCAATACTGACCCATCTTAAAGAATTCACGTATTGTCTGTTTGGAGGAAACTACTTGAGAAGGTGTTCTTCAAAAAAAAAAAAAAAAATTTTTTTTTTTAAATCTGTGGGTTTATCTTTTTCTTCCTTTCCCCCCTAATTTTTTTTTTTTTTTAAGATTTTATTTATTTATTTGACAGAGAGAGACACAGCGAGAGACGGAACACAAGCATGGGGAGTGGGAGAGGGAGAAGCAGGCTTCCCACGGAGCAGGGAGCCTGATGCAGGGCTCGATCCCAGGACCCTGGGATCATGACCTGAGCTGAAGGCAGATGCTTAATGACTGAGCCACCCAGGCTCCCGTCCCCCTAATTGTAAAAGTAATTACAATTAAGGGGCGCCTGGGTGGTTTCTTGGTTTAGGCTCAGGTCCAGATCTCAGGGTTGTGGGATCAGCCCTGCCTAGGCTCCCACTCAGCAGGGAGTCTACTTCTCCTCTCCCTCTGTTTCCCCCACCCCCAATCATGCTCTCTCTCTCTGAAATAAATAAATCTTTTTTTTAAAAAAAGTTATTACAATTAAGAGAACGTACTAGGTATTAAAAAAAAAAAAACAAGAAACCCACAGTAATTACCTTTTAGAGACAAACACTGTATGTGTATGTGCTCTGACTCTCACTCAGTGCCCAACACCTCCTCCTACCCTACAGCCCAATTCACTCTCTAGCTCACTCCAACACAATTCCTGCTGTTTGGTATTGGGGGGGGGGAAGCAGAGCAAAGGTAAATATAGATTCATAAAATCTCAGGATTATACGAGCCTTAAAAGAAAGGGTGCTGAATATTGATCTACTCACTGCAATTAACTAACTGAACTCCCAGAAAGAGCACACTCCTTCAACCTCTAAAAAACAAAGCAAAAACCACAGGTATAACAAAAACAAAACCTGTTTTGTTTTAAAACCTGTTCCCTGTTTTAAAACCAATTTTACTACTATGAGTATCTGGTTAAATGAATGATGGTAGCTTTTCCTTCTTTGTTAGAGAAAAATGTTTTAGTTTATAAATGTAGTATTTAACAGAGCTGTGGTTTCTGCAAGAGAATTTTAAAGACCGGACAAATATCTTAAGGACATCAGTAAAAATGTTTGTAAGTTCTTGATCGTAACTACTCTATAATCAAACAACCCACATATTTTTATTCTTTTTATTTTTATTTTTAAAGATTTTATTTATTTGACAGAGAGAGAGATAGCAAGAGCAGGAACACAAGCAAGGGGAGTGGGAGAGGGAGAAGCAGGCTTCCCGCGGAGCAGGGAGCCCGATGCGGGGCTCGATCCCAGGACCCTGGGATCATGACCTGAGCCGAAGGCAGACACTTCAGGACTGAGCCACCCAGGCGCCCCTCAAACAATTTTTTAAAGATTTATTTATTTTAGAGAGAGACAGAGAGCACGAGCAGGGGGAAGGGCAGAGAGAGAGACAAGTAGACTCCCCGCTGAGCGGGGAGACCGATATGAGGCTCAATCCCACAACCCTGAGATCATGACCTGAGGTGAAATTAAGAGTTGGACGCTCAACCAACTGAGCCACCCAGGTGCCCCCAAATCAAACAATTTAAAGTCAAATAATGCTACTAGATAGGAAAGTCAACTATTACCAAAGGATGTCCTTGGGAACTCAGAGGCTTATATAAAGAAAGACTAGTGACAAATAAGAAATGTTTCCCAAATTTTAGCAGCATTTTATTAGAAGGTTTTAACCTGGAATTTCAAACGTCACTTTAAGATGCTACATTTGCCCCTATGTTTATTCTTTTTAATTATGTTTTTAAAAGAAGTTAGCAAATGGCTCTGAGTTGAAGTCAAAATGACAGCCCCAACAGTGTATTGTGTGTTACTTCAGAGAGAAAGCTGAAGTGCCATGAGAACTAACAACAAAGGCCAGCAAAGGAGCACATATGACAGGGACAGCAAGCAGAAGTCACCGATGGAGCTGGCTGTTTTCTAAAAGGTCACTGTCCTCAATTCCCCAAAGTCCCCTTTCAATACTTTACAAGTCTGTAATACTCTGAGTGATCAGATCTTTTTACCATGCTAGTAAGAGGCCTGTGCTGGTGGGCAAATTAACAGAAATGCATAGTGAAAGCCATGGAACTGATCCATTAATCAATCAATCCATGTAATTTTTTGTCTCTCTCTTCCCCATTCGAGTATAAGCTCCAGGAAAGCAGGGAGTCTGACCATCTTACATTCACTGGTAGCTCCCTAGAACAATTCCTGGTATACAGCAGTCCTCATTAAATACTTCCTGAATAAATGTTATTTTCTTACTTTAAGATGCATCAGTGCCTTAAGACAGAACCAACAGCATAGGAGAAGCCAAAGGTCCTTGCGTCCCTTTTACATCTAAGTATTCTGAATCACTATATTACTAAACTGAATGTTTCATACATTTGACTTTTTTTTTTTTTTCTTTTCACTGACACCAAGGAAAACAACAGAGAACAACATATTCAGAGTATAGTTCTGTGGCTCTTTTTTTTTTTTTTTTTTTACTACAGGCTTGCCATCTTATACTGCTCCTTCTAAAAAAACCTGCCACTTAGGGCTCCTGTGTGGCTCATTCAGTTAAGCATCCGCCTTCAGCACAGGTCATGATTCCAGGGTCCTGGATCAATCCCTGAGTCCTGGCTCCCTGCTCAGTGGGGAGCCTGCTTCTCCCTCTCCCTCCGCTCCTCCCCCTCTGCCCCCACCCCGCTCGTGCTCTCTTCTCTCTCAATCAAATAAATAAAATCTTTAAAAAAAAAAACAAACTTGCCACTTTAACCTTACCAAAAGAATGGACACATACGAGACTTCTGACATAGCCATCAGGAATTTTAAGCTTACCCTTGATTACTGTATTAGATTTGGCAAAGGGAAATTAATCAAGTTATATAGAAATAACAATTAGGGCTGCATATCTGATGCTATACTTCCATAAAAGAAGACAATGAAGATAAGAGCTATTTAACTTTGGGTTTTAATACTCTTATTCACACTAATTCCAGATATTTCCAGAGTACATAACATTAAATGAATCAATGCCAAGGCAAGCCGGAGGGAATTCTAACATCATTTACCATACTTCCTTTTCCTGAGCAAATTTCAAAATGGAGTATTTTTATAAACATTCCATTAGAGACCAAAAGGCTTTGATTTTCAAAGTAGCAGTGATGGCCAAAGGCTTCATTATGTCAGAGAAAACATCATAAAGCAGTTTGGGAGCTGCAACTGATAT